AAAAACATTTTAGATTTCCAAACTTCAGTTTTCCAGCACAAAATTAAATGTTACAGAAAAATGTTTGTATGTCAGTAAAGAAAGCAGCGTATTACATAAGAGACACTTTTCAGACAAAAAAACATAATGAAGGCTGCTGGGTTTTGAGATAATAAGATAATAAGAAGCGAGTCGACAGTCAAAGTCTCCAGAAGAACTGTGGCTGCTTCTGCAAGATGCTCAGTAACACTTACAGCTCATTTCCTTCTAAAACTGCACAAACTGTACCTGAAACTACTAATTTTTTTTTAAAGCGAAGGATCATCACACCAAATATTGACTTTGTTTCATTTATTACTCTTTACTGCTCTTTATAGTATTTTTTTTAATGTAGAATTTTTATATTTAATTTCATTATTTTTAAAGGCATCTTTGCTCTACAGCATTTCTTTGATTTCTTTCATGTGCCTAATTATGCTAAACACTAAATTCATTATATATATTTTTTTACTTAATGTGCAAACGCAACGTAATGTAATACAGACTAATCCTCAAGACCTTCTTTAGTAAACGTACTCCTGTTTTTTTTTTATAAAGCTTGTCATACTGACTGTTCTCTTTTAGCAGGCTAATCGCCATGTCATTCACATTAACATTATATTGAATGCTATGAAAAGTAATTCAATCAAATGAATCTAAGTCAGACTGCAGGTGTACACCAGAGTTTCAGACGAGCATCTGAATTATTGGACAACAGTAGTAATGTATCCTAAATTAGTATGCCATTAATAAGAGCATGAAAAAGACTATGTACTTGCACCACAACATTCTTGACTCTCTCTAGACTCTCTCTTGACTCTTTCTAGCAACATATGACACATTATGTTATGATGTGTTATTATAATAATAATATTATATTAAACATTATAATTCAAATGCAGTATCATGGTAATGTTCTAATTGCTTTAACTTTAATATTGCATTGTAACTAAAAAATTGATTAAAGTTATAATTGGTTATGACATTAAACTTCAGTTGTTTAAATAATATATGATTTTTAAAAATAGATTTAGCCAATTTCAACAACCAAAATCAATCATGACCCTATATTAATAAGTAAAGCCACTAGGAGGTGTTGTGCAGAAGTGATCTTTCCCTCCTCTCCATGGGAACACATGAAACCTAACTGATATTACATACTTTCTTATTTTATAATTCCAACATACGTAAACCTTTCACTTAACTTGCACAGGGGGTGCGGTGGTCCTCTGTGTCAGCGCTCCAGCGTCCCTGTTTCACTCTTTTTGATCCTGAGCTCAGGTTACTGTTCTCCTAATGTCTGTATGGGTTTCCTCCAGGTTCTCTGGTTTCTTTCCACCCGGTAGGTGCACTGGTCTATACAAAATTTCCCCTGGGTGTGAATGTGTGTGTGGGTGTGTGTGTGCATGGTGACCTGTGATGCTTTCCAGCCTCATGTTCCAGGGATAGGCTCTGGATCCACTGCAACCCTGTGCTTACTAAAGATGAATGAATAAGTAAGGAATAACAGTCAACAGACCATGCAGTTATACGAAAATACTGCATGCCACGGGGGGTGTGATACGGCATCACGTGCAAGCTGAGTGCCGCTACCCTCTGAAGTACGTTACTTTCACATAACAGCACTGGAGTAACAACAGGTCTGGATTGTATTATTCCACTTATACAACAGCAATTTCCCAAAAATTACAATGTTTAATTTATTGATGTATGAAACGTTCCACATTTTAACAGCTTATAATTAGATTTGATGTTGTGCAACATTCAAGAGACACGTTAGTTCCTGTGTTCACTTATGTTATAGCTGCGATAAACAGTCATTTCCTCACCAGCCTCTCTCTCTCTCTCTCTCTCTCAAAAAAAAACAGCTCATCATTTTACCAAGAAACCAGAAAGCATAAACTCCTCTGTCGTGCTGACAAACTTTGCAAAGCACTGTTATAACCAAAACTCCTTCCATAAACATTAAATAAATGTCTTCTAACAAAATGTCACCACATCAGCGATAACAGGTTTTTGTTAAACAACAACATTTTTAAAATCTGTTTATTATTAGTCTTAGATTATGTGGAGCGTCTGCTGTGCAAGTCCCAGTGTATGAGCTGCTACTATAGAAACAGTAACTACTTTTACATGCACATCAAATTCCGTTTAAGCCATATTCACTACTTTTATTCAGAATACAATGTTTATATGCGTACAGGAATATTAATGTATACATGGTTGTTCTAAGAAGGCCTGAGTTGCCATTCGTAAATACCTAGCCTACAGTTAAGCATCTGTTAGTACCCACAATTCCTTGCAGACTGAACATGCACATATATCTCCTTTCAGTGGATTTTTTGAATAAGGTGTTTACATGCAACGAATTTCCGATTAAGACAGGCTTATTCCAGGGATGGGAATAGACATCTGAGAAATCAGAATATTGTCTTAATCTGAATCGGGCAATCGGATTGCGGCGTTCACATGACTCAACAATAATTAGAATACTGCCAAAGTCTGATTAATATCAGAATATTGATGTGCATGTAAACATAGACAATATCATATTATAAGGAGAGCATTAATATGATGCTATGACAGCATTCATCTCCATTATGGTATAAATGAATATCTTGCACTTGTTCTGGTGAGCTGTTGGAAATTCAGTGTTTAAGCACTTGCTTAACTGTGCTTATGGTCTCTGCTTCACCTTTAGACCACTTTACAGGAGGAAAAAAATCTGCTGCTAAGTGAATAAATGTCGGCTAAATGTTTATCGATTCTCGATCTCATAGCCCCGCCCCCTGGAATCGATGTCATCGGTCAGCGTTGCTACAACCTGGCTGAGCTCGGCGTTAAAAACCTCACTCGGAGCGCTCGCGAGGCGCGTCTGTGCGCGTTTTTATTTATTTCATACTAGTTTCTTATCTTGCTAGCAGCTTGCTAGCTTATTAATCTTTCACCATGGCTTTATTCTGTTACAAAACAGTTTAGTCACCGACGCAGAGGCGTCGTTTTTTTCGTGTAGCCGAGATATGATCCGTTGGAAGATGAATTTCTTTAGCCAGCTCGGCTTCTTGTTGTTGTTGTTATTGTTGTTGTTTTTAGCTTCATTCGCCCAGTGCAGAAGTTTAAAATGTCCTGATGGGAAGCCATGCTCGGACCGACCTCCTGTGGTACTGAGTAAGTTGATGCATTTACAGAACAGGTATTTATCCACGACACTTAGAGATCTTCACGGTTCCTTTTTAGTCTTGTTTACTGATGACGACTTGTTGACTTGTTTATTTTCGCGCGTGACTGAACAGTTGATGACTAAAGGTGGTGTGCCATGTAGCATGGTGTTGACCTATCCATAGAACTAAACGTTTATAAACGTGAGATATGTAGAGTACAAAGATTAGAAAAAGTGCTTGTGACACCTTGTCAAAGTCCAGCCAGCTAGTTCCAGTCACGAAATAGTACAGTTATTAGTAATATTAGCATGACATTTGCAGCTAAAACAGCTGTGTTAGCCTAGTTAGCATTTGTGTTGTCTAATCTAGCCACACTTTCACAGGTTTAAACCTGAACTGTGTGACCAAGACATCCTGAAATTGGGAAATAGGATGAAGGCGTACAGAGTTGAGTTTTTCCCTTGAGGTGCCTTGTGCCTGTGTGGAGATTCATATGACATCCAGTCACATGATGAAGGCAGGAAAGCACATTCTTTCACACACACAACACAGTGTAGCACAGTGCAGTGTTTATTAATAACAGTACTGGACTTTAGTAAGTCCTTTACATAATAGATTCAAAATTAGACAAACAACAAGTAAGCTGTGTAAGGATAGATCTTAAAAGTTAAAAAAATTAAAGCAAAACAAGGAATCACAGTGAAGATAAATGGTAAAAGATGTTACTACAACAGCTGATAAATAACAACATTAATAACACAATCTACAAGGTTTATCACAAACAGTAGGTTTAATGACAGGAACTATGAATAGTTAAATCATCTTGCTGTCAATACTGATATGAAGTACAGTCAAAATGAACACTGTGGAACAAAAAAAACATTTGTCATCCTTTGACATTCATGACAGTGAATTTTTTTTTTTTTTTTTTTTTTTTTTTTTTTTTT